ATTGGGGTCTGGCTTGAGAAGGACCTTTCTTTATTTATTTCTCAGCCTGCCCTTGGGGAGTTGAGGGAGCCCTATCTCCATTTTGGGGTGTGGGCAGAAGAACTAGCTTGTTGTGTTTTTTTTTTTTTTTTACTCCTGGCTATCCCCAAGGGTCCAGGAAGAATTTGTGCCGTTCAACGGTTTGGGAGTCTTGGCCAAGACAGACTCACATCCTTGGGAAAGGAATTCCCACCCCCCAACCTTTCTCTCCGACAGCCTGTCCTTCGTCAGCCACCTCTTTGGCCAGGGATGAATGCGCCTTTTGTTCTTCTCCCCCTGAGAAGCCATTCCTGTGTCCGCCAAAACTCCTGGGGTCCTGTCTTCTTACCTCCCAATGGAGGGTTTTTTGGGGGAGTGGTCCCCGTCTTGGGGGCCCCTCCAGCCAGTACTCCAGGTCTCCCTATCCCCCACCCCTGCCATTTTGATAGTATAATCTATTTTTAAATGGGGCTTTTCAATAGGGGAGAGGGGGCATCTCTTCCTATATCTGAAATGGGGTGGGTGGGTGGGAAGGAAGGGATTTTGGGGGGAATCTTCCTGCCACCCCCAAGTGTTTATTTTTGATACCAAACGTGTATTTTCAGCTCCCTCCCTCCCAGCCCCCCAATTTCCTGCGGGCGGGTACAAAGGACCCTTTAAGTGTCCCTGGAGTTGGGAGGGAGGAATGGGAGACATAAAGCCTGTCCTGTCTGATTTCCAGGCTGGAGAGGGTGGGTTCAAAAGACTCCTGGGCTCACCTGTCAGCACCAGCCCAGCCCAGGCCTAGGGACCTGGAGGTTGGTGATTTGGGGGACAGTGCTACACCTGTCGCCACAGTTTGTTTTACTTCCTCAAAAATGGATCTTTTTTTCTAAGTCCCAAAGAATGGGGAATTGTTCCTGTAAATATATATTTTTAAAGGTGATGCTGGAGGCTGCTAGCGTTTTTTTTTCCTGAAACCACGGGGGCTAACTGAACAGGACAGGCATGACTGTATGTGAAAGGTGGTGAGGGTGTGAGATTGAGTATGAGAGAGAAAACATGATGGCGTATGTCAGAAACAGTAGTAGGGACTGCAGATTGGTAACCAGGTATGAAAAAGAAACTGGAAAGCTCTGTGTGTGTGTGTGTGTGTGTGTGTGTGTGTGNGAGAGAGAGAGAGAGAGAGAGAGAGAGAGAGAGAGAGAGAGAGAGAGAGAAATCGTGGGAGAGAGTGGAAATTGTAACCACAAACTTGACATTGTGTCTGTGAGAAATTGTGGCTGTGTGTCAGGAAACCACTGTACAAATGAATGATTACGGTATTGTACAATAAACTAGTGTGTGTCAGAAATAATATTTATGAGAAGGTAATGGGGACTGCAAATCAGTCACTGTTTGACAGGCTACTGGTGAGGAAGACAGAGTGATCCAAACAAAGTATGAGAGCCCACGGGCATGAAAGTGTGGTCGAGTTTGTCAGGGACTGTGTGTAGGTGAGAAAATTTACTGTATGTAAGCAGGTGACTCAGTGTTGGGAGATGAATTGTGTGTGAAACTGTTCATGCAAGGCTGTCACATCAACTCAAGTCATGGGAGCATATGTGTGAGAAGTTAATTGTATGAGAAAAAATGGCTGTGAAGCCAAATTTGTGCCTGAGACACAAAATATGAGAACACGTGATTCTGTGTCTGAAAACTGTTCATGTGAGATTAGCAAGACTGTGAGAAACTGAGAAAAAAAATGGCTGTGCCTGGGAGAGTATGAGAGGCTGTAACTGTGTGTGTGTGTTTACCTGAGAGTAGTGGCAAATTGATTTACAGTTACTGGTCCAGCCTAGCCCCACAGGTTCAGGGAATGTGAAAGTGGGAGAGAAAATGATAGTGAGACTAAGTGACTCAAACAGTGCAAGAGACCACATAACTGAGTAAGAGATGAGAAGTAACTAACAAAGTGAGTTCTGTGTAAGAAAATTGATGACTGAGCAGTCTGAGAGTTTGTGCGTCTGCAAAACATTTCATAAGAGACTAAATTGGAGGCTATATGTTTGTGAAAAACTGAGAATATGAGACTGAGAGACCATGTGATCATTGTGTGTGAGAAACCGGTGAGGTTGTAATTGTGTTTGAGTGTACATGATAAGCTGACTGTATGAAGAAAATGATGGTATAAACAACTAAGATGGGCCATGAGAGACTGTGTGTATAAAATGTATTGAGAGCCTAGTAGCAATTGTGGATTAGTGACCACAGATGTCAGAAACCGACTGAGGGAAAGTGCTCATGCCACTAAATGGGTGACTGAGACAGTGTCTGAGAAACTGATTGTATGGGTATGTGTAAAACTCTGCCAGATACTTTAATAAAGGCTGTAAATCAAGGACTGGTATGTTGGAAGCTGCTTGAGAAGAAATGTGAGACTAGGTGACCTAAGACAGTGTGTGAGATACTGCGTGATTGTCTATGCATGTGAAACTCCTTGCTATATATATTCAGACTGCGGATATAATAAATGGGGGCTTGAGTGTGAAGAGGTATAAGAGATGGTGATTTTGTGTGTGTGTGCAAGAAACTTCATGAGAAGCTAGTGGTGGCTGTAAATCAGTGACTATTTGTGTATGTGAGAAAATGACGGCCTGAGTGGTTGAAACATCGAAAGGTGTGAATATTTGTGTGCATGTGAAAAACTGGTGAGAGTAAATATTGGTAATACTGGCGGAATGAGACAGACTATAAGACATGATCATGTGTGTGAATTGTTGGGAGGAGAGAGTCGTAAGACTGGGAATCAGTGACGGAGAAAATGACTCCTTGAGTGAGTAACTGAGAGAATATCTGAGAGGCTGTATGGTCGAGTATGTATATGAGCCTGTTCGTAAGAGACTACAGTAGAGGCTGTAAATCCAGAACTGTGGAACTATTTTTTAAAAAGAGAGAGAAAATAATCGAGACCAAATGAGACTGCATGAGAGACCAGGAATCAAGTGTGCCAGGCCTACGAGAAAGCCCTTTTCTGTTCTCTTTCTCTGCAGATCCCTCCTCCTCAGGCCCTATGCTCCATTTCCCCTCAGTTATCCAAAACTTGAAATGCTGGACTTCCCCTGAGCTTTCCCTGGGTTCCCTTCCCTCTTCTCACAAGCGCTGGTCCAGTCCGGGTACTTGAGACACTATTTCTCCCCACCCCCCTTATGCTCACCTTTTTACCTCCTCTTGGCACTTCACGGAATCTCTAAAGTTTTTAATTTCATTTATTTCTGCATTCAGCAGATGTTTATTGAACCCTGCAGAAACAGCGGTTAACAAACCAGACAAAAATCCCTGCCCTTGTGGAACTAATATTTGAGTGAGGGCAAGAAACAGATAAATATATCTAACAAGCAATAATTACATGAGACAAGACTCTCACTCTCTGTTTAAATAATAAATCTGCACAGTCATTTTATTGCCCAAACGTGGGAGAAAATGAAAGCGCGGACAATCCTCTTCCCACAGGGAATCCTATGAGTATTTGTACAGTTTAGAAACAAAGACTATATCAGTTATAACATTATTACCAGGGCAACAGGTGATTAGATACAGCAGCCAACCAGAAGTACGGGATTCTTGAGTATGTTTTCACAGGATCACACAGCGCTGTTGTCCAAAGTCTTAGAATAACAAGACCTCTTTGTTCAAAGGAACACTTTCTGAGACAGACTTATATTATCAGGAAACAGTATATCTGAATGTCAACACACTTTATAGTCCATAAAACAAGATTGATATTCTTGAGAACGTTCTGTTTTAATGTTAAACCTGACCAAATCAAATTATTTTACTTTGTTTAAATTTGCAGAATGGGGGCCGGCCGATTGGCGCGATGGTTAAGAACTCGCTTGGGATGCCAGAGGGCCCCGGTTCGGATCCCACATATGAGGGCCAGTGACACTGCCCTCTACAGCTATGATGCTGAACAACAGCTCAACCTGGAGCTGGGCTGCCGTGGGTCGCCGGCGACGGCGTGGGCTGCAGCCCCTGTGGCAGTGGGTTGCCATGGGCTACCGTCTGTAGCCAGCAGCCGCAGTGAGCGGCCGTCCAGAAGCCGGCGACTGATCTGCCTCACCCTGGAAGAACGCAATGATGGTGCCAACTTGGGCCAGTGAAGCAACGTCCTCCACAACTAGACTGAAGAACAAAACGACAGCAACTTGTCTGTTCCCCTTCCCCCAATTCCCCAGCACTGTTCCCATCCCCCCAATTACCCAATTAAAAAAAAAACACAAAATGAGTAAGACCTCTGGCTTTAAAAAAAAAAAAAATTTGCAGAATGGTATTTCTCCCTTCGTGAGTGCAGGGGAAAGGACATTGCCTTCCTACCTTTGTTAGACTCCTTGTTGTTATTTTACAAGATTCTTGTAGTCAAAGCAGCTCTGGAGTCGCACTCATTAGGGCTTATAAAAAGATAGTAGGTCCATGGAGCTCAGTTTTACCTGCATGGAAAATGGGTTGTATTAACAGTAAAATGAGCTTGGAATAATTTTTCTAGGTGAGACCTACAAAGGAAGAGAGGGGTCAGGGACGAGGATGATGGTTTTGGGGGTTTTTTTTAATGTATTGGGGAATTGGGGGAGGAGAACAGCGTTGGGGAATCGGGGAAGTGGAACAGACAAGTTGCTGTCCTTTTGTTCTTCAGTCTAGTTGTGGAGGATGTCGCTTCACTGGCCCAGGTTGGTATTGTGATCATAGCGCTCTTCCTGGCTGAGGCAGTCGGTCGCTGGCCATTTGACGGCCGCTCAAAGCAGTTCTCACTGGCTGCTGGCTGCTCACGCTGGCTACCGGCCACTCACGGTAGCTCAAGACAGCCCACTGCAGCTCTACGGCAGCCTACAACTCATGGCAGCCCAGCTCCAGGTGGAGCTGTTGTTCACCATCTTAGCGGTAGAGGGTGCAGCATCACTGGCCCATGTGGGATCCGAACTGGCAGCCCTGCTGCTCAGAGCACGCACTCCCAAGCCAACTCTTAACCAACAAGCCACTCGGCCGGCCCCAGAATGATGGTTCTTAAAGTGTGGTCCCCAGACCACAAGCATCACTGTAACCTAGGAACCTGTTAGAAATGCACATTCTTGAGCCCCACCCCACACCTACAGAATCAGAAATCAGAAATGGGGGTGCAGCCCAGCAATCTGTGATTTAACCAACCTTCCAGATGATTCTGATGCACAATAAGGTTTGAGAGCCACTGGTCTAGAGAGTGGCAGGGATGCTATACAAAAAGGGTAGTGGGGCAGGCCTCTGTGAGAGAGGTGACATTTATTATCTATCTCCTCTTTTAAAGCGTAAGCCTTGAAGGCCAGGATTTGGGGCTGTCTTGTTCTCTGCTCCATCTAACGCCGAGAACAGCATCTGGCACCCAATAGGTGCTCAATAAATGTTGAATAAATGTATTTAACAAACACAGACTATGTACTACATGCCAGGTACTGTGCTAAGGAGTTCAAAAAATCTTAACTCCCAATCTTCGCAACAAACCCTATGATGTAGGCTCAGGGATGTCACCTACCCACGTTACTCTGATAGAACGTGACCTGACCAGTTCCTTCCCAATCACCCCCTCCCCAGACACTGAAGATGTCCCCAGCAGGGCCCCCAGACTGGCTATTCACAGTTCACTCCTAAATCCTCCGCACACTCACTTCCCCTTCTCACTTCTCTTATGCTGACCTCCCTTCCGCTTGCTGACCACAGGGGACCTCCCTTTCAGGAAAGAGAGTGGGTTAAGTTAGGATGGAAGATGAAGCAATTGCCTCAAAGCCTGTTCCACCCCATGAGGATGAATGCACTGAGCATGCTACGCTCGTTTCAGCCTGTTCAACATCCCCATAAGGTTGACTCTGTCATGGTAGAGAGCGTGCATTTTACAGGTGAAGAAACAGCCTGGGAGAGGTTTAAGTGACTTGCCTAAGGTCACACAGCTAGAAAGTATGTCTTGCTCCAAATTCCTTGGCTCCATTTTCCCTCAGTAAGAATTTGTACAAAGAGCATTGATTGAGTGCTGAAGGGTTGCTAGGTGGGGCTTGGGGTGCTGGGGTTACAGTGATAAACACAACACAACCAAGAGTGAGACAGGAAGTAGGGAGGGGAGAGTAGAGGAGGTGGCACATGGGCAGAGGTGGCAAGGGAGAGATGGGAGCTGAAGAGGTCTGCCCGATGCTCTCCCCTCCCCCCAGCTGCCCTTTGCCCTCCCAGTTCTTCCTGCCCCTGGTTCCTCTTTTCCACCGACTCCCAGAACAGGTCAGCTCACATAAAGGCAGGTCTCCTCTCTGGTGGGGCTGCAGGGGCAGTGCTCAACATGCCCGCCCCGGCACATGCCTCTTGGTTACTGCTGCCACCACTACTGCTGCTGCTCACCTTGCCAGCCACAGGTGAGTGGGTGAGGGTCCAGCTGGCCCCCAGGGGTGCCCAGGCCCACCAGACCCTTGACCATGTCCCCCTACCCTACTCTGTTACAGGCTCAGACCCTGTACTCTGCTTTACCCAGTATGAGGAATTCTCGGGCAAGTGCAAGGGCCTCTTGGGGGGAGGTGTCCGTGTGGAAGACTGCTGTCTCAACACTGCCTACGCCTTCCAGGAGCCAGACAGCAAGCTCTGTCAGGCATGCAGGTTAGGGGGAGCTGGGGGTTAGGGGGAGGCAGGGAGGACTGTCTGTGGGGCAGCCCAGAACTGGACTCTTTCCTTCTCTGGAATTTCCAAGTGTGGCTCAGAAGCCCTGATCATGACCATAGCTCGGGGCTTCTCAGCCTCAGCTCTATTGACTTTTGGGGCCAGAAAATTGTTATCAAAGGGACTGGTCTGTGCATTGCAGGGTGATTTGTAGAATCCCTGACCTCCCACTAGATGCCAGTAGCAACTCCCTGCACCAGTTGTGACAACCAAAATGTCTCCAGACATTGCCAAATGTCCCCTGGGGTACAGAATCACCCCTGGTTGAGAACTGCCATAGCTTACATATACAGTAATACCTTGGTTTGCGAGCATAATTAGTTCCAGAAACAAACTACTCGTATTGCAAGACATCTCTCATTTACCAAGTTAAAATGTATTAGAAATGTTTGCTCGTCTTGTGGAACACTCGCAAACCACATTACTCGCAATCCAAGGTTTTACTGTACTGAGCATTTCTTGCATACTAGAAGCATTGTGGGTGGGGTGCAGCTCAAGTATTTCTGAAGGTGGCTCAAGTCCCCTAATTGTGATGACAGCTCGTAGTGAGTGCTTACTGTATACAGATGCATTGTGAAGATGGGAGAGTTTGGGGAATTCTGAGGGCAGCTCCAGGCCTCTAATTATGATGACACTTCACATCCATTGAGCACTTTCAGCATATGAGATGTATTTGCAGCATACCAGAGGTCGGGGGCAGCTGGAGGATTTCTGAGGGTAGCTCTAGTCTCCTAATCATGATGCCAGCTTACATGTATTGAGTGTTTACTGTATGCCAGACACATTTTCTAACCGCTTACTGTATATCCCAGATACACCATGAGGATGGGGAGCCTGGGCATCTTTTTGAAGGCAGCTCTGGGCCCCTCATCATGTCATCAGTTCACATCTATTTAACATTATGCTGTGCAGGGGTTGGGGATAGATCTGGGGTATTTCTTATGGGGTCTCTGAGCTCATTGGGATGATGGCTATTTATTAAGCACTTTCTGTTTGCATGATGGTGGCCTGACAGCAATTCTGGGCCCCTAGTCCTTATATTTGCTTACTGCACACCTGGCACTGTCCTTGGGGGGACTTCAAAGGGTAGCTCCAGGTCCCTGATCGTGAAGGTAAATGGTAAGTACTTGCTGTGTGCCCACCTCTCCCCATTCAGTCCCCCAACATCCCTAATAGGTATTCTCATCAATCCATTCCGCACACCCCTGCCTATGCCTGCCCATGCTCTACAGTCCCATACACCATCCTTGCCAACTCATGCCAGGATGGGACGCGTGCTACTCTCTGCAGGTCCCCACAATGGTCACCGTGGTCCCATTGGAGCCCCTGCTCAGTGACCTGCACTGAGGGCTCCCAGTTGCGGCACCGGCGCTGCATAGGCTTTGGCGGGAAGTGCTCTGAGAAGATGGAGCCTGGGACCCTCGAGTGGCAGCTACAGGCCTGTGAGGACCAGCCGTGCTGTCCTGGTGAGGAGGATTGGCCAGGCGAATGTGCACTGCCTGTTACCTGCACTGGGAACAATCAGGCCAGAGGCCCTGAGGGTGGGACTGTGCCTGATATTTGTGAGGCTCTAAGGTGGAAGCAAGTGGGGCTGGAGGAGAGTGGTGGGATGTGAGCTCGTAGGGGGTCTTGATCCTTGTGGGCCTTTTATTCTGAGTGATACGGGTTGTGGGCAGAGCATAAATGTGATCTGACTTGGGATGTGACCTCCTTGCTGTCAGGAGTACAGACTGTAGTAAGGGGTAAAGCAGAAGGACTAATGTGAACGTTACTGTAATCAGTTAAGCAATGATGGTGGAACAGGTGTGACAGGATGTGGGGATAAGATTAGGGGATGTGGGTTACATGAGGAAGCAGGGATCCCTAAATGACACCCCCACCTCCATCCTGTCCCCCTCTCATCTCTCCCACAGTGATAGGTGGCTGGTCTGACTGGGGGCCCTGGACGCCTTGCTCTGCCACCTGCTCCAAAGGGACCCGGACCCGTCAACGAAAATGTGATCGCCCCACCCCCAAGTGTGCAGGCCAGTGTCCAGGAGAGGCACAGGATTCACAGACCTGTGACACACAGCAGGTCTGCCCCAGTGAGTGAGGGCAACCACAGGGCACTGAAGCAGGTACCCAGCGTGGGTCTGCAGGTTACAGCAGGGAACTGCCAGGGTGGGAGGACTTCAGCACGCATGACCACAGTTGGCCTCCCCCTACCCCACCCCATCACAGCACATGGGGCCTGGGCTGCTTGGAGCCTCTGGGGTCCCTGCTCGGGCTCCTGCCAAGGTGGACCCAACGCACCTACGGAGAGACGAAGCCGCACGTGTTCTGCACCTGAGCCCTCCAAGAATCCTCCTGGGAAGCCATGCCCAGGGCTAGACTATGAACCGAGAGCCTGCAGAGGCCTGCCACCCTGCCCAGGTACAGAGGGATGAGGCTTCTGACACTCTGCTCTTGATTCAGGCACAGATGCTCTGCCATTTCAGGGGATAGAGATCTTAGACCATGTGACCATGGAGCTCTTTGATTGGGGGTGGTCTGCCTCAGAGATCTAAGGGCTGAGTGCGGAGATTGAGGTGGCCTTTCTCCTCACTCCTCTTTTCGCCAACAGTGGCTGGGGGCTGGGGACCATGGGGCCCAGTGAGCCCCTGTTCTGTGACCTGCGGCATGGGCCAGACTATGGATCGACGGACATGTGATCAACCTGTGCCCCAGCATGGAGGCCCCTTCTGTGCCGGTGATGCCACTCGGACCCACATCTGCAACACGGCTGTGCCCTGCCCTGGTCAGCACCTCACGATGCACCATTTCCATGCTTAAGCCCCCCCCCCCATCTTTGCTGCCCAGTTCATGCTGCTGATGCCTTGTTCCTGCCTCACATTCCTCCATTCCTGGCCCTGATGCCTTGGTTCTACCTCTGATCCCCCATTCCCACATCTGATCATCCCCACTCCCTCCCCCAGCCCTCATTCCTTCCTCTGAACCACCTTGCTGGCTCCCTTCTTTGGTGCGAGCCCCTGCTGCTCCTGTCTCTGCAGTGAACGGAGAGTGGGGGGCATGGGAGGAATGGAGCACCTGTGTCCGCCCAAAGATGAAACATATCAGCTGTGAGGAGATCCCAGGCCAGCAGTCACGCTTGAGGAGCTGCAAAGGCCGCAAGTTTGATGGACAGCGATGTGCTGGGGATTATCAGGATATCCGGCACTGCTACAACATCCAGCGCTGCCCCTGTGAGTGCCTCATGGACTATGCTGTGAGGGTGGGCAGCCCATGAAAAGACAGGTTTCTGACTCTGCTGTGGACCCCATGTCCCTACAGCCTCTCTCAGCACCCCAAGACCACTAATTCTGACTCTGTAAACCCCTCCTCTCATTGCAGGGAAAGGCTCGTGGTCAGAGTGGAGTACCTGGGGGCTGTGCAATCCCCCGTGTGGACCCAACCCCATCCGCACCCGCCAGCGCCTCTGCACGGCCACACTCCCCAACTTCTCGTGAGTGAGGGGCAGAGTGTACCGAGGAAGGGGTCATGATATTGCTGTCAGAAGTCAGAGTGGGAGAGTTGGCTACCCCCAACCAGGGTTTCCAGCACTGGGCCTAAGATACCTACCTGACTTGCCAAGTGCCATTTCCCAGCTGAAGGAAGAGGGGGGAAACTAAAGAAGAAGCTGCGAAAGAAGATAATGAGGGGAAAGTTAGCAGCCTCTGTGCACCTCAGTCACTCATCCAGTTACTCAGCCATTCTCCCATTCACTCGGTTCTTCACGTGTCCATTTGCTCTGCTCCCTTTGTTACATATGTTTTGATTTGCTCGTGCAGTCACTCAGTCACCTATGCCTCCATGGGTGACTTGATGACTCACTCAGCATCTCACTGCCCCAAGGCACTCTAAGGCCTTTTCAGCAGCAGTTGCAGGCGCACACACAACTCAGATCCCATGGATCTCCCGAGGGGTACAGGTTGGCAGGGCCCTGACAGAGAACATATGAGGTACAGTTGATATGTGGAAAAGGGACTGTCACCTCAACTTGGGTCTAGGAAGCTGATCAGGCTTCCCCTGGCAGGAACGGGTCAAGCCTGTGTGAGCAGAGTCCTGGACAGGTGATCAACTGCCCTAAGTGTTTCCCAGTGGCCAGGGTGGCCCAGGTGTTGGAGAGGGTTAAAACACCCACTCATCCCTTCCTTATTTCCTCATACATGAAGCTACTAGTTTAAGGGGCCTGTTCCCATCTCATGGAAGACCTACCATCTGGAAAGTGGCCTCCAGCTGTGGATTTCAGAATGGGTCATGAAGATGAGTTGGGGGTGTTAAGCGGAGGCATGAAGGACTTGACAGAGAGAGGGAATGAATGGAGAAAGGGCTTATTGAGAAAATCGGAATGGGAGTGAATGGAGGACTTGCCTAGTGGGAGAAATAACCCAGGCAAAGACCATTTTAGACATGGGATTGAGTCTGGATAAAGTGGGAGAAAGAGATAGAGATTGCCTTGCGACAGGGATTTGGGCCCAACAACAAGACCTTGAATGCCAGGGCAAAGCATTTGGTTTTGTTCCAGTGGGCAATGGGGAGAGATGTAAAGGGTTTTGGCTGTAAGAGAAGGTAGCTCATGTCAATTAGTAACACACATCAGCATTTGTTGAGCATTTACTATGTACCAGACACCACCCTGAGCACTTTACCTGAATTAACTCATTTATCCTCACTCAGCCTGATGAAGTGGATTATTTATTATTATTATTATTATTTATATTATTCCCATTTTTCAGATGCAGGAAAGTGAGACACAGGGAAGATAAAGAAATTGCCCAATATCTCACAGCTAAAAATAGTGTGGGGCACACAGTAGGCACTCAGTAAGAGTTTGTTGAATGCGTTCTTGCCTTCTCTGAGCTTCTCCCCTCCATTCCCCCCCTACCGCCTCAGGCCCACCGTTACCATGGTCGAAGGTCAAGGTGAGAAGAATGTGACCTTCTGGGGAAAACCATCAGCATTATGCGAGGTGCTGCAGGGGCAGAAGGTGGTGGTGGAGGAGAATCGGCCATGTCTACATACACCTGCCTGCAAAGACCCTGAAGATTAGAAGCTCTAACGCCTCTCTTCCACTCTGACCCCCTGACCTCCCAGAACTCAATAAACCAGCCTCTTCCCCAAGAGTAGGATGATAGCATCTTCTAGGCCAAAGGGCACAGCACCAGCAAAGTCACAGTGGCCTGTTGTGGAAAACAGAAATTTCCACTGTGGCTACAGTTTGGCAGGAGTGAAGGCGAGTATTCGTCCCTTCCCTTCACTGCTGCTGGAGCCCCAGTGTCTGCCCCCGACCCCTGACCCACCCCACCCCACAGTGCCTGGGGCCACCCAGCAGATTCCTCTGCAGAACTCCATGTTAAGGGTTTCCTATTTGGCTACTCACCAGGGCAGGCACTTTCTGATTGGCCAGTGTGCTTGTTATCCATTTGTCCATCTCCCCACCTCCTAAAGCTCCCTAGGTTCCCACCCGCCAGAACCTCTCTGCTGGCGAATGCCACATCAATCTTGAGGTGATTGGGGTGGGCGGTCAGCTGCTCTGCAAGCACCTGCACTCACCCACTCCCAACAGCCCAGCTCCAACGCTGCCATTAGCTGGGACAAACAACAGCTGGGTGTGTGTGTGTGTGTGGACGGGCGTGAGGAAGTGCCTATGAGGTGCTCTAAGAGAAGCTGGAGTCAGCATCTGCCAGGAGGAGGCCAGACAATCCCAGACACAGATTCCTGTTAGCATTTTTTCATTCATTCAACACTTATTAGCGTCTACTGTATACTAGAGCTAAGTCTGGGCATCTGGGTTGGAGGAGGGCTGGTAGAAGTTGAGGACATCTGAGTGAGGGAACAGACTCAGTAGGTGATCCTTTAAATATTCAACACTTATCAACATCTACTGTATACCAACAATAGTCTTGGATATCATGGGGGATAGGGAAGAAGAGGAGTCAGTGGTATGTGTCTCCACATTGAAGAGAACAAACCCAGACACTAGTGCTCTTAGCATTTGGTCATTCATTTAGCACTTGAATGCTGGACCCCTTGTAATGAGACAAAGCACAAGAATCATCATAATTGTGATAATAGCTAATACTTAGTACTTACTTTGTGCCTGGTAGTGTTTTAGGCCTCCATAGCATGAATTCATTTAATCCACCATGAACCTATGAGGATCAGTAACATTCCCATTTACCAAGGAGGAAACAGACACAAAAGGTAATAGGCTGGACATTTCTGAAGCACCATGTCAGGAGCAGAGTTTAGGACTTAGTGCTGTGAGTGGAGGGGCACCTCTGTGTGGGAGGGTTCAGATGGGAGATTTGTGATACCTAGAGTCTGTCAGGGTGCTCAATTTCTCTAGGTTGATTTTCCCTTGTGTAAAATGGTCCAGTTGATGGGCTGAGATGAAGACGAAATTGATGAATATTTGGTCATCTTGGAAGGAATAAGCCAAAGAGAGGTTCTGGTTGCTACTATAGAGTATGAGAGAGGAAGTGTTTACAAGACAGTGGAAGTTTGTGTGCATCATGCAGCACATACCCTTATGCATGTGTGATATGCAGACCTATGGGTCTGTACAAGAATTAAGGATATATTGAGTGTGTGCAGTGTGAAGTTGCAACCGTGTGTGCACCACAACAATGTGCGAGTTATGGGGGGGGGGTGTACACATGCACATTAAGGCAACATGGATATGTGTGTGTTATAAACATAGGTACAATACCGACTACAAACATGACATGGGTTTCAAAGTCGTTTACCAGTGCACAACAAAGGAAAGCATTTTTGGAGCCTCTTCTGTACACTCATTCCTGCTGAAGAAGATGGAGACAGTACAGAGGAGCCTTACATCTGCCTCAAGAAGTTGAGACACTTCTGGGGGAAATCCTCATTCTTCTGCAAAACAATCCACAAAAAATTAATTCCTGGAAATTGAGCCACCTAGTGAACGGGAGTGACACTGGGGTCCACAAGTACTAGGAACCTGGAAATGGGGCACCTAGGAAGAAGCAGTCTAGCGACAGATTCCTGAGCATCCAGAAAAGTCTGTAGACCTGCAGTAGCTCCTGGCCCCTAGAAAAGACACCATGGGTCCAGCACTGCTTGTTTGTTTCAGTTACCTAGCAAAAAACAAGAGCACGTACTTGGAACGTTGGGAAATACCCAATTCGTGGGGAGTTTCCCATGTGGGGAATGCTGGGATATGGAACGCCAGAGAGGGCATCCAGGAGACAGGGGAAAGGAATGGCCAAAGCAAAGGCCTAGAGGTTTCACTGAAGCTGGCTGGGATGGAAGAGGGAGGAGAGGATGGTTTGGAAGTATTTGACTTGACTGAGAGCCTAGGGAAAGGGGGGATGGAATCTGAGTCCTGGGGTAGGGGTCTCCCCGGAGACCTTGGTCAAAGATGATCTCTGAGAGAGAGGAAAAGGACATTCCTGGCAGAAGTCACAGCACATGCAAGGATAGAGGTGATCTCTCCCCCACCTACACCCCACACACACACACACACACACACACCCCACCTTAGAGGTGAGTCAGGTGATCATTTTTATTTTTTTATTTTAAAAGAAATTTTATTGGGCAACAGTGGGTTTTTCCAGGACCCATCAGCTCTAAGTCAAGTAGCTGTATTCAATCTAGTTGTGGAGGGTGCAGCTCCTTGGCCCATGTGGGAATCAAACTGGCATCCTTGGTGTTACGAGCCTGCACTCTAACCACCTGAGCTAACTGGCCGCCCCTAGGTGATCATTTTTAGTTTGAAGACAGGCATTCTGACTTCAGACCCCACACCATTACTACCTTGTTTAAACAGGCCATCGAGTTGATGAATTAAGAGTGGACACATTAATAAGTGGATGATTCACCTGAAAATCCTGCAGGCAGAAGAGACTCCAAATCTGCCTACTTCTTGCCATATCTTCTCCCTCACTTGGTCTACCATCATCGCTCACTATGCCCACAAGGCCCTGCTCAATCCAGTCCCTGCTAGACTCTCTGGCCCCATCTCCTGCCACAATCCCCTTCTCTCAATTTGCTCCAGCCACACTGGCACCTTGTCTGGCACATTCTTAAAAAGAAAAAATGTGTGAATCACAAATTGAACGAATTGGAATTCTCAGGTTCCTTCATCTATAAAATGGAAATGATATTACCCACCCCATAGTATTGTTGTGAGGCCTAGGTGAGACAATACATGTCTCAAAACAGCTCTGTTAAGCATTGGGTACAACCAATCAACAAATGATTATTTTAAAATGGATTTGTGCTTTCATTGTAGTCAGGATCTCATAGGAGCTGACAGAATGGCTTTCACAGCCCACCTCCACCCGAACTATAAAAGTCATTTGCTCATGTGGCAAATATTATTTGGCACCAACTGTGTGCATACCATAGGACGAGTCTGCCTCTGCCTGTAGAAAGCTCTCTGGTACAGGGGGAGACAGCCATGGGCACTAATGATACCAGGTGGCTATCCTGGTTTTTGGCAGATGGATGGGGGCGTACAGACCGAGTATGTATGTTGCGGGGGATAGATGGACACGCATCAGGGCTAGAGCTTCAGGGAACGTGCCCATGTGGCTGATCTGTTTGTCCATCATTGTCCGGGTATGCATTTTATCTGGGCGTGCATACTCGTGTGAGTTTCCCAATGTGTTGGTGTGGTGCCCGTGTGCGTGTAGGCATATACACGTGCGTGTGTGCATGCATGTCTATGTGTGTTACCCTGGGCTTGGGTGTGTATAGATACCTAGATTAGTGTGTCTTCTCTGTCTCTACATGCCTCCGTGTGTTTCCTTATTTTTGTGTGTGTCATTCCCTGAGTGTCGCCGGCCCCTTGGGGCAAGGGAGTGCACTCCGCCCAAGTGTCCAACTCCACCTGTCTGATGCTGTCTACGCCACCCCCGCTTGCCTCTCTGCCTAGCTGAGCCTGTGTAGAAGTGGGAAACTGATCTCCCCGCAGAGTACTGCGTGTGACCCCCACCCCTCGCCGTGAGGGAGTTATTTCTGTACTTTTGTGTCTCTATGTGTGCCTCCATTCCCACCCCCCACATGCCTTCTGTGGTGAATATCAACACTGGAAACCAACTATCTGCGGAGGGTCCTGCATATGCGACTGGGTGTGAAGACCAGGATGAAGTGGGGTGGACGGCTTGCCTGACCTCCCACCCCAACCCTTCGGACAAGCACCCACCCCGCCCCCACTCCCCAAATTGCGCATCCCCAATCGAAGGGGGGAGGGGAACAAGATGCGGCGTGGCGCGTGCGCACTGCCGCCTTCAGCACCGCGGACAGCGCCTTCGCCCCCGCCAGCCAGCGCGCGCCACCGCCGCCCCAGCACTGAAGGCGCGCTGACGTCACTCGCCATTCCTCCGCAAACTCCCCTTCCCGGTCGCCTTGGTCGCGTCCACGCCGCCGCCGGCCCTGCCGGACTGCACCACGCGGGGCATGAGATAGGGGCGCACGGGCGCGACCATCCGCGCTGCGGCGGCCGCGACTCAGCGCTGCCTCAGTCTGCAGCGGGCAGCGAAAGAGTCGCGTCGTGCCTGAGAGCGCAGCTGTGCTCCTGGGCCCGGTGCGGTCCGCCCCCGCGGCTCCTGACCAGACTGCTCCTAGGACCCCCTGCCCCGCGCCGCAGCCATGAACTACCTGCGGCGCCGCCTGTCGGACAGCAACTTCATGGCCAATCTGCCAAATGGGTACATGACAGACCTGCAACGCCCGCAGCCGACCCCGCCACCACCTGCTGCCCCCAGCCCCGGAGCCACGCCCGGTCCCGTGACCGCCACTGCCGAAAGGGCCTCTGCGGCCGCCCCTGTGGCCTCTCCGGCCGCCCCTAGCCCAGGGTCCTCGGGGGGCGGTGGCTTCTTCTCGTCGCTGTCCAACGCTGTCAAGCAGACCACTGCGGCCGCGGCCGCTACCTTTAGCGAGCAGGTGGGCGGCGGCTCTGGGGGCGCGGGCCGTGGGGGCGCCGCCGCTAGGGTGCTGCTGGTCATCGACGAGCCCCACACCGACTGGTAAGCCACTGCCCCGGATGTCACTCCATGGGCCTGGGTCCCCAGATGGTTCCGTGACGAGCAATTATCGAGCACCACTTGTGTGCCTGGCGCCTGACCCTCCTCGCCCAAGCCCTTTTCCTTTAAATTATTGTGCTGGGCGCTTCCTGTGTACCCCGCCCTTACTCCACCCCAGGCCTCCTCTATCCATACAGAGAGCAGTTATGGGGCACCTGCTGTGTACCTCCTTCCCAAAATCCTTGGCTTCAATGTGTCGTGTGAACATTTGAGAGCCGAATGTGCCCTGCCCCCCAACCCTCGCACCGAAGGCCTTATTTATCCTCTAATGGATCTCGTGAGCATGTATCAAGTACCTGCAGTATGCCTCCACAGGAGCCCTTCTCCAAGGCCTTTGGCTTCCATGAATTTTGTGAACATTCATTGAGATCTTGACATGTGTCTTGTCCCCCTCGACCCTTGCCCTAAGGTCTCTCTAATAGATCTTGTGAGCATGTATCCAGAGTGAGCTGTGTGCCCCACCCCAGCCCTCTCCTCAAAGACCTTTAAAACTGTTCAGTGAACTTTTGAGTGCCTGCTGTGTATCCCACCTCAGCTTCTCACTAAAAGTGTTGCCTTTAATGGATCCTGTGAGCCCTCATTGAATGGCTTCTGTGTGCCCCAACTCCAGACCCCCTCTCCAAGAGCCTATTTCTCCAAAGAACCTAGAAAGCATGTATTAAGTGCTTGGTGTGTGCCCAATCCCCAAACTCCCTTTTCAAACATATCATTTTCCTCAAATGAACATGTTTTAACCATCTGTGTGTGACTCATCCTCAGACTCTCTCCCCAGAATCCTTTTCCTACAGTGGATCTAGAAGGCATTTATTAAGTGCCTCCTTTATCCCCCATTCTCAAGCTACTTCTTCAAAGACCTTTCCTTTGGTGGACCCACCTAGCACTTGTCAACTGCCTACTATGTGAGCCTTATCTAAAGACTCTTATCTCCAGTGTAGTCAGCAAACATTTATTTAGCGCCTTCTATTTACCCCGTCCCCAAACCCTTTCCCCAGTGCCTTTTCCTCCAGTGGCTTCAGTTTGCATGTATTGAGCACCCTCTGCATGATCCAAACGTAGACCCTCTCCATAAAGGCATTTGCCTCCAATTAATACAGTTAATCAGATATCTAGCACTTGCTATGTGTACTATTTCAATCCCTCTTTCCAAAGACCTTTTCTTTTTAATAACTCCTTGGAGCATTTGTGGAGCACCTGCTTTGTGCCTGATTCTGTGCCTTCTCCACAAAAGCCTTTCCTCCCATGGAAGGAGGATCAAGCTTACATAGATCAAGTTTCTGCATCCCCACTCCCCTTCCCCAAAAGACTTCCCCCAATGGGCCCAGTGATTGTATGCCCATCCCTAGCCCTCCCACCCCCACCCCTCAAAGACCTTTCCTCTTAATGGATTCAGTGTGCATTTACACCTTGTCTGCCAGGTGCTCAATTCTAATCACCTTCCTCCAAAGGCCCTTCCCTCTGATGGGTTCTGTGAGCATTTATGGAGTGCCTTCTGTGTGCTCTGTGTTCACTCTTCCTCCCCAAAGTGCTTTTCTTCCAGTGGATCCAGCAAGCATGTATGCAGTACCTATTGTGTGTAGGGAGTATACCCCCCTACATTACCCCTAGGAGAACCTGCATCAATCATAAAGCGTCTCCCCAGGGTCCTTGATAAGTCCAGAGCCCAAGTTATAAGGGTTACCCCTTTCCTACTCCCTTCAGTGTCCTTAGGATTCCCTCTCCCAAGTACTTCAAATGGCCTTTCTTCTATTTAAGCCACTAAACACTTTTTGAGCACCTACTAACTATAGAAGAGCCATTCCAAGTCTGGAAGTTCTGCCCCTATCTCAAGAGCTCCCTCCCCAGGGGTCTATTTCAGCCTAAATTTATTGAGTACCAGCTGTTTACTAGTTAGATAACCTCTCCCCTCCAGGAGCCCTTACCCAGCATCTTTTCTCTCTTTTCAGTGCCATTTATTCATTTTACAGATATTAATTGCATACTTTTCATGTGTAAGAGAGTGGGAGACATTTATTATGCACTACTATATACTAGGAAGACCCCTCCTTCAGTTTTTCTTCCTTCCAATCCTAATCACCAGCTGGATTCTCTATACCTTTTCCTCCATTTAACGCCACAATTGTTTAGTGAACACTTACTGTATACTACTAAAAACCCCATATTCAATGCCTCTTCTCCCCCTTTTGTAGCCCTAATCCCCCTTCAACAGTCTTCACCCTGCCTTCCACACTACACAATCCTAAAAGCTCATAATATGCATCTACTGTATTCAGGCCAGGTCCCCTCCCCTATTCAGATGGCTATCTTCCCAACTGCTCCTTCCCCCCAATTAACCCAATGAGCATTTATTAATCTCTTAGTGTATTCTGTTCAAACGGCCACATTCCCATCCCTGCATCAGATCCTCCATCCAGTCTTTTCTTCATCATTCCATAAAGCATTTGCTGAATACATGGTATAATTCCTTCACCAACACCCACTCGCACAGATGCTGTCTTCCTGGCTAAATTTGCTTCCCTGAAGTCAACAAACCTTTATGAGGCCCCTCTGAATATTGGTAACCATCATCTTTTAGACGCCATCTCCACTCTGACCCTCCAAGCAGGTTCTTTGCTGCTTTTCCCTTTATTCCAACAAGCATTTATTATCTACTGAATATTGACAAGACCCTTCCCCTTCCCATAATCATAACTCCAGTGTTTTCCTTTTTTTTTCTAACTTGTCCAGCAAGCAGTTATTGAGAACCTGCTGAATTCAGTGAAAGATTCTTCCTTCCCCTTCTTCCTTATAGAAGCAGCCCTCCTCCTTTATCCCAGCAGCTGCTCGTCTTTTCTTTCAGTCAATTTAGCAAATATTTATTTAGTGTCTACTATAGGTGGGGTAGGATGGATAAAGGGAGAGAGCTTATATATATATATATATATATATATATATATATATATATATATATATATATATATATATATATATATATATATCAGCTCAGTGTCAGGAACAGAGACCTCTGCGTCACCAATTTGCAGACATTCAGAACTATGCAAGTTTTAGGGATCTCAGCCTGGAAAAAAGGAGGAGTTGTGTAAACTTGAAAAAAATTGTACACATAAAGTCTGACGCCTTTCCCACCAAATCTCATTGTCATTCCTTTCTGGGTCTCAAGTCCTCTGTGATTTAAAGTTGCAAACTGAATTGAGACTCATCTCCCATTTTTAGAGATAATTTAGTCCAGTGTTTTTCAAACTGTGGGACATCTATTGGTTTGTGACCAGCATTTCATTTTCTTAATGAAGTAGGATGAATGAAAATAGAAAATAATGGAATATATTGCACATAATAAATGGAGTTATTATTTAGCAAAACTGTTACTCCAATATGAAATATAATCAGTAATGTATGTCATCTATTATATATGACATATACTAATAATACATTTATTATATAATGGGTTTACAGTATATAATACATATGTGTGTATGTTTTGCTTCATGAAATGGAATAAAATAGAACAGGAAATTTCAGACTCTATTGCACGTAGTAAGGGTAATTATTTACTGAAACTTTCATTCTAATAATATATGTACATTTAAATACATTCTACTATACATTCTAGATACATCTACACATAATATGTAACATACAATATATTGTATGTTATATATTATATAAGACATTCTATATTATATTATCCAATAATGTATTTGCTGTATAACATATACGTGTCTTATATAATATATATTATATATGTAGGGTGGGTTCTTATGTAAATATGTATATGGCGGGTTATATAAACTATATTTCTTATTGTGGCTTCTTTTCTGAGACTTCCCTGGAAGCAGACCTTGAGAATCAGAGATTTGCCTGCAGATTTCTTGGGGAGAGCTCTGGGGAACACCTGTTGTGGGGGAGGAATGGGAGAAGCAAGAGTTGGCAGAGGGAAAGGCTGAGCTATAATGCAGCCACAACAGAGGCCTCAGCCAATCCTCTGGGGAGCTCTGGAGCTGGGATGACCCTCCAGAGCTATCTCAATGGAGGTGGGGTGGCCAGGCTTCTGAATTCCTGCATCAGTCAGTCATCGACTACTGGCTCTCCCCTGGGAGGAGGAGCAATCTTGGGGAAGGCAGATTAGAGCTGCAGAGGGCAATTCCCAAGGAGGGACAACAGCTGTTCCAAGAAGCTGGGGGACAGATGTGAAGGCCTGGGAAGAGGGGTGAGGATCTGGGTGGAGTATACAGTTCACCCCTTGTACTGCTCAGATTCACTCGCTTCTTAGAGTACATTCACCCCATCTGGGAACAGCATTTCCAGGATTGTTATTGGCCTTGTTTTCTGAGGGAAACTTGAAAAAGCATGGTTAGTGAGATGAACTAGAGCCTCCATTGCTACAGTTGATACATGTGGCATAAATAAATAATATGTGTTGTTTCCTTCTATACATTCTAGATTCCCCTCACCCTCAGCTAGTACCTCTCTTGGTCTCGGTGGCTTACCCGGTGCATGATCCATCCCCTCATCCTTGAGAGCTCCCTGAGCCCTTGGTCCCCACGCTGTCCTCAGGCTGTGCTGCTATACTTGTCCATTTGCTATCAAAGTTGAACAAGGAGTACCAACACATGCCCAAGCAGATCACCCGGGTGCCTCCCTGCCCCCGTTGTGTAACAGCAGCCTTGCCCCCTCCTGAAGATCAGGGTCATGTACCCCTGCCAAGCAAGTGACTTTCCTTCATGTCCATTGGTTTGCGAAACCTGAACTGTCCAGGTAGCAGTCAAAGCTTAGAATGTAATGGGATTCTTGCTGTGTCCCCTGGTGGCAGTGTTTCCCCTTGGAGAACCAGGACCTCTAACCTTGTAGAGCCCTGAGGGAACAGAAAGCACACATTCCAGAAGTGGATCATTGGGATTGATGGTAAGCTGGGCTACTCCTACTTTCACTTCTGGGTTCCCAGACCC